CTCGACACACACTTTCTTCTTGGCTGTCATGTGCACCGTCCTTTTGCCCTCGCGGTTCGCTGTTTCTCGGTAAATCATCGAGGATAGCCGTTCGCTATTAGTGTTGCTGTACTTAACACTAGCTCATCGTCCAGACAGTCGATCGAATAAATTCGTCTGGCACGACTAACTAGAGTCTACACAAGTGTCTGTTTTTACCGCACTGGTGTGAAGCTGGTGAAGTACAGGTACTGACTGGATCAAGTTGATTTTCAGTAAATGGACCTCTTAATCCATCTTCCCTAAGACTTATGAGGAAGTTCAAATTTGGCAGACAATTGTTCTGTTCTACTTCGCAGGACAGCTCGTAGTTGGCACCAATTACGCGTCTGATGTGGTCTCATAGTTGGCCTGTCTGTTGAAACTGTTTTTAATGCCGACTCGTCTGCAGGGTAATGATGCAGGGCAGTGGAAGCCGCAAAGAGTCTGTCTCGACGACGCGGTCTTATCTTTGCACGACACCTAGCCGTTTATGGCGGTATGTTGTTGACAAGGTGTACGCGCCTTGACGATGAATATTTGCGTTGGGCAGTATGGTTGTATGCTAAGTCCCCCTTCTATCTTATTATTCTTCGTTCCGTATGTCACTGTGGTTGTACGGCCGCAAAGCATCAGCACAAGCGACTAATGTAGTGCTGTTAATGTTAATGCGGAATTTATCGCTGTCTGCGAGACGACCTCATTCTGGCGTACCCAGATCTTAACGGACTCCGCTTACGCTTACCGCCACCTGAATCTTAGTCGCAACCTAAAATTGAGGGATCACCAGCTGAAACTGGCAACCCAGTACAGTCGGCTGGAACGTTCCCGCAATTATTTTTTTCTTGGTATTTATCAGCCGTGGAACGCTTTCCGACTTTTGTCACTTTTGCGCCCACTCTGTCCATTCTTATAAAATGGCTTGACGATGCATTACTTGATTTGAATTCTGTCCATCGAGTGACGACAAGGCACCGAGAGATATTCCGTACACCAACCCCTCACGAAATCTTCGAGCACCATCACATATACTGACGCTCCATCGTAGTCGTGTTCCTCGACATCAAAGCTGACTTCGATTCGGTGGATCGGTGTGCCCTTTGGGACTGTCTGCTAAGGTATGCCCGAGAAATATGTAAATGTTATCCGAGCGCTTTACGCGCGTAGCTCGGGCAGGATGAGGTCATATAGCAAGCTGTCGCCGGCCCACATTATCTCCAGCGGTGTAAGATAAGGATTTCCTCGGTTATCTTTCCTCTTCAGCTTCGCTATTGATGAAGTCATTGTTACGAAGAACCGACTTACGGTCAGCGTACAAGCTGAGAACCGTAGCGCAACATTGGATCGATCTACAATTGGAGATCTAACTCGAGTAGGTATCAAAACGAGAATCTATGTGGAATCAAGGGCAAATTGGAGCATGAACTTGAACCGTTTAGTTGTGTTAATTAATATTAAATAACTTCTCCAATATTGTTGTGTTAGTAGTTTGCCTACAACCTATTTATTGCGCCATGCTCTCATACAATACGAATCCGAATCCTTTTGGTCCGGCTGGTCTTGGCGTTCTCACTTCGTTGCGGGTTGAACTGGTTGGGAGCGGCACAACTGATTCAGGCAGGTTATCCGTACACTCAGTCATGGAGATTGCGTTCACAGGACACAACTTAGAAGGTGTGGAACTGCTCCCAGGTGAACGACTTCTTGACTTAGAGTATGCTGACGACATTGCCCTTATGTGTAATAGACCACAAACGTGCCAAGTGGCACTGGACAAATAAGCACTGGCTATCAGACGTTTCGGTCTATGCTGCGCACCCTCGAAATACAGTTTTCCTCTGAGATTGGCAGGGACTGCCTCATGCGCTGACTCTTATTGGGGTTCAGCTAGAAGTCGTTCAAAGATTCAACTACCACGGCAGTTGTATCAGCGCCGTTGGAATTGAAAACAAGATCACAAACCGTACAGCAAAAGCTCAGGGCGCTTTAGCTTACCTTCGATACCTATGGCGGCGACGCGGCATCACCCTCTCTCTGAAGGGTTGAGTGTACAATGCAGTCGTACGTACGGCCCTGATGCACGGTTGTGAAACCTGGCCCCTTAGATCAGTGGACATAAGGAGGCTAGTTACCTTCGGCCACCGGTGCCTTCGCAGTTTGGCTCATATCTGGTGGGAACACCGTGTGATCAATGAGCATGTGTCGACGCCTTGTTTATGGCACAGGAAGAAGAAATGAACAGCTCCGCGCCGTTATATCACACCCCAGGCTCCAATGGGTGGGTCACGTGTTGCGCATATCAACTCACCGCTTTCCGTGACGTGTGTTGTTTGCGCGCCGGGGTGTGAATTGGAGAAGAGGTGGCCAAGCGATGACCTGGTCAAGAGGAACGGAGGCCCTTAGTTTGAAATTGGTTTCGTTTGGAGACTCTCGGCTGCCTAGTTGGGGTCCGAAAGACGATAAACACGTTTGGCTGGATACACTTGTTGACATGGCTAGGAGCCGACCTCAGTGGCATTCGTGTTGTGAGTTTCTTTGTCCCTCCCCTCCCACTTAGCCTCCACTCCAATCACGATCTCATTTCAAATGCATATGCATATGCTTCTTTTTGCGGCACAATAGCCGGCTGTTAGCTCTCCGGAACGATGTCCATCCGCTACCGGTGACAGCCGGCGTGCCATTGCATTTTTTTGTTTTCTAATATACTGCGGCACAATAACAGGTGTTTTCCATCTCTAGCAAACGTGTATACTGATGATGACTCATGAAATCGGTGTAAATGGATTTACTTATGTGTTAAAGGGGAACTTATTGTGTATCCACAGGTACGCGTTTCATTTCATTGTAACTTCTTTTTATTTGAACTTACATAATTCACAAACCATCCCACGGGATCTGCCAACCTTGTCATTGTCGTCCGCATTATACCACTGTTCCCCACGACCGGTGGAGTTCGTTGGGGTTGTCTTTTATCTCCTTCTTAAACTTTGTAGTTGAAATGATCATGCATGACTCGGTTTTTTCGGATCGGAAGTTTTATCAGGTGAGTATCTCAGCCTCTCGCGTAAAAAGCCCGTGTTCGATTCCCGGGCGGAGTGGCCGAGTGATTAATGCAATAAATTGTTAACCCATTGAGGTTTACCTGCCCGGCTATGTATCCCACCTCCACCGCCAAGCTCTTATGGTCACCCAGGTCTCGCCGGGCCGCTCTGATTGGCTGTTCGGAAACCTGAGCACTCCGATTTGAAGATCAAGAGGGTTGGATTTCGGGCCACAAAACATGAGACAATTACACGACGAATATTACCGTTTTTCATGTTTAATTTTTGACCTACTTGAATGTTCTCTGTTCTATTTTATTCTTTGCTTACCATTAATGGTTCTGGATTGTCCGAGAACATTCTTTTGACCCACCAATGCGATTATCCTACTTGATTTCCGGAAAAGTATTGGATTTTAGACCAGTTAAGTTTCACTAATCCATTCCTTAGGAAGTGCTCCTCCTAACACGAACCTTAGGTATGTCGACGACATGGCTGTCCCTGGGTCTGATGCAATGGCTATGCAAGCATCGCTGAGTAGGCTGTGTAGCGCTTCAAATTTTTGCATGTACTTTGCACCTTCAAAGTGCAAAGTACTGTAGTGGAAATGGACCGATACACTAGCGGTTCCAGCTATTATCAAACAGCTTCTGGATGCGATATATCGGCTCATTTACTTCGGTAAATGTGTCGGGTTTAGTGGTCACATCACTGAAGAGGTTACTTCGCGTATCTGCAAGGCCCTTGTGGCTTTTCAGAACTCAACTATCAATGAAGACGATGGGATATCAGTCTGTCAGTAAACGATAGGGTGTATAGCGCTGCAGTAAGGCCAATTTTACTGTATGGAACAGAGACCTGGCCAGTTCGCTGCGAAGACATTAAACGCTTGTCCGTGTTTGACCACCGGTGCTTGCGGAGTATTGTTCACGTCTCGTGGGAACACCGGGTGAGCAATGCTGAGGTCCACCAGTTAGTTTTCGACAAAAAGCCTTCTGATGCCTCACTCGAGTTTTTGCTGAACCTTACTCGCTTACGTTGGCTAGGCCATGTCCTCGGTATGCCCGTTGATCGGCTTTCTCTGCGTGCATTATACACCGTGGCTGCATCAACTTGGATAAAACCGCTAGGTGGCCAGTCCATGACGTGGCATCGAGATATGAAGAAATTGACTTGCTTGTGCGTGCCATCTCCGTAGATGAGGACCTTGGGATGGTCCACACTAATGGTTAGGGACCGTATCTGACATGGCGCATTCGCACAATCATTGGCGTTCTTGCATTCGGTTTCTTGCATCTGGTTGTTAATTTCCGTTCCATTCCGATTACTTTAACGCACTTCCTTCTTGTTTCCATCTTCTTTACATTCTACTTACATTCAACCCCACTACCTTGCCGTTGTTATTTGTTGTTATTCTTGCGATGTGCGTCGTGGCAACTGGATCCACCGCATTTCGGTGCTCGGATCATAGTTGATCAACTGAACTGAACTCCTGTTCAGTTACTTGGTGTTAAACTCTGCATCATATCCTCTATAACCGGATTCACCCCCCTCCACAAAGTGCCAAATGCTTTCTTTCATCCATTAATTGGCACTTTGTGGTTTACACCCTGTCGATCTTCATTTCTCACGCGAATCTGAAGCTGCGCACGACTATAAACGAGTTCGCATGTTGCATGAAGGCAATCTAGGCTGACAGTGTTTAGATTAGTACAGCTTTCTGAGTGGTTTTGTACTTTTTGTTGCTTACACCCTTCCCTTGGCAAATTCGGTCCTGCGTTCACTTGCACTTTCGTTACCCATCTTTGCGGCTAAATCGGACACCAGACAGGCTAAGTTTATGTGCGTTTTACTTCCACACAAATATTCACATGATTGTAAAAAAGTGTACAGGGACTTTTGCTGACACCTAATTCGTGCCCGTCTGTTCTTCCTCTTCAGACACAACTCTCATCAATTCTATCGATTTTTTGAAGATATACGCCTCGCTGCTGAAAGAGATCGGATGGATGAGTTCATCCTTTTCTCCAAGTCACTTTGTATACCATACAAACTTCTTACCGTTGATAGAACCAGACTGATTACTTCCAATTAACCTAAATCTGAAGAAAATTTTTCAAAGTCAGCAGATTGTGTGACTTGTCATCTGTGAGGTTTTCTACTATATAAAAATAGTTGTCTTTAGTTGTGTTTTCGATGCAAACCGGAGGGATTTTAATGGTTGTATATGCAGTCAATGCAGCGTGTTTCCATTGCAACCTAGTAGACAGACCTTTTCCATGCAACCAGACGTACAACTGCAACTAAACGTGAAATATCAGAGTAATTAATCGCCCTTGTGACGCGAAGCATTGGCATTCGTGTTCGCGTGTACACTAGTTATGTGTTTGTTGGTATTCTCCCACATAGTGGTGCCACATATGCTTGAACTGCTGATTGCGTGATCTCTCAACCCAGCGGATATCTGTGCCTCCAACGAGTTTGGCTGTCAAACCATAATCCTTTTTCATTCGCGTGCTGCTCTTCATGTCCATACTTTATGGCAACGACAAACACCAAAACTAGCTACGACCTCTTACCTTTTCTACCAGCCGGTTGTATCTTCTTATCGCGTGTATCAACCATTTGTCAGTTCTTTTATCAGCATTGATTTGTGTGACATCGTCACAATGTGGATGTGCTAAATGCATTGAACAAATTGCAGATGATAGTGATTTGGTGCTGCTGCGGGTCAAAAGTGAAGCGGAATTCGTGTTTGGTAGTACATGTGGGTAGATGTATTTTATTATTATAGGAAAGCGCCGATCCACGAAGTTCCATTAAGTGCGAACACCACCAACCTTTGGGAACATTTTGGGATAACTGGAACCTTTACTAACGGTGCCTTGAACTCGTCGTCCGTTGTGTGTTTGAACCTTGTTCTCTTCTTCACATCATTCTTTTGCCCCTATCAATTTAACCTTACTATCCTGTACTCTGCGTCACAGTCCACTGAACAGTGCCTGTAAAGTTATAAGTTGCATACTTTTGTAAATGAATCGCTTTCGTTAAGCACTAACTGGTGTGACGATGTAGTAACGCGTCCTCTTGATCGGAATCATGCTTATCTAAATCTTGATAGACACTAGCAACTCTTCTGTTTCCCGCAGTCGTACGTCACTCACTAAATGGTTTATTATCTGTTGTACACTTTATATGAAAGGTTCATCCTGTTTCAGCGATTAGTCCTTAGCCCGGACTTTGTCGACTCACCTGGCGGTAGCAGATGTGCTGCGCTGTGTACCGACTCCTTGCCTTTTTTCTCGGTCACTGTTATCCGTTGCAATCTCTTTGTTCTGGAGTGGGCTGCGATCTTAGCCTGTGCTAGCGAGTCTCAAAGGACAAAGTAGTCACGGAAGCGCCTTCGTCTCCTTTCAGCTGAAGCTAATCTGGTGGGTTGTGATAGTTGCTTACCGAGCAAGCTGCTTTGACAACTTAACAGTGACATCTCATTTAAGAATGCCATGTTTTATCAAATCCGTCCTCACGAACTTGGAATCATTCGTTTGATACCACTCCCATTGGTACCATTCTTACAGCAGTTTGCTTTCCAATTTCATTGACCACCCGTGGTTGTGCGGCAACAGGACTCACTAGCAAGATGACCAGTGCTAGTGCGTTACGTATGCTGCCTATCACACTGGTGTAATGTCGTTCACTCTTTGAAAGATTACCAACTGCCCTGCTTTCCTCCGCCACTGTTCAATGCTGAACCACTCCGATCGACGTACAATGATCAGTTCATAACCGTGCACACTCAACATTTTGCATACAGTGCCACGCGGCCTACATACTTTTCCGCCAGCATGTTCAAAGCCGAGGATTTTTATCTACTAACTCGAACACGGTATGCGTTTGCTCGCTGCAACCATAAAACTATATTATCACATAGTTGATTTGACTGACTTCGTTACCCTTTCACAGATTTTCCTGATCATACACCATCCAGTCGGGTTAAGCTACCAGTTCTGGCGACTAGTTGCTATTGATCGATAAATGCTTAATCTTTGACCTTAAATGATCTTGCTTTTTATGTTAGCGAAGTAATCTTGAATTCGGATAACTACGCACATCTTATCATTTGTCAACACCATCACTGCAACTGTCGAAAATAACTATAGCGTCGCCGGATTCATTCGACGAAGATTAGCGCCTGGCGCTGAGTATCGCGGTGCTAACTCACAAACCCTTGAACAATCCAACCTAACATCCAGGACTTAGATATCATATAACTAAATAACTTTCACTCTATTAATATTCGATTAAAAGGTTGCACCCATTTTTCACGGGAATTGTTGCCCTGTTTATGTTTATCCGACATGGCGGCTCTCAAATGATCGATTACTTGACTTAGATTATACCGGCGATATTGACATCACCTGTGACAGCTCACAAGCTTGCCAAGTAACACTGGGTGATTAAAAACCTGACGACCGTTCCATGTTGTGTAGAGCATACTGTAGATGTTCCGCTTGCCCATCAATGCCAGAAACCACGTAAGTGCCATCTATTTAGCGACTATAGGAATGCACATGTTTAGTGTTTTTAGTCTAAAAAGAAACCCAGTTGGTACATTCACTCAATTTGTGTACCGCAAACCCACTTGGACAGCACATTACCTTAATTTCAGCAGATTCTGACACTGCTTTGCACCCTTCAAATGCAGTTTTCCTCCAAAAATTGGAAGGGACCGACCCCTTCGCTGACCCTTATTGCGAACCAACTGTGGTGTGGCTAGGAGCCGACCTCAGTGACGTTCGTGCTGTGAGTTTCTTTGTCCCACCCCATCCCTCTTAGCCTCCTCCTCCAACCACGATCTCATGACTTAGCCTTATATAATTTTGCATAATAATTTTTTTTGGGTGCACAGCAGCCGGCTGGTAGCTTACCGGAACGATTCCCATCCGTTACCGGTAGCTCAGCCAGCTTTCACCAGTTGTTTTCTTTTTCTCTCTCATTTTTTTCTTCTTTGTATTGTGGCACAGTAGCTGAGGTGTTCCCCACCTCTAGCTAACGTGTATGATGATGATGATGGTGTGCTCAGAAATTCAGCTACATGCGCACTTGTGTTCGATCTGAGGTCACGAACGGTATAGCGAAAGCTCGAGTTGTTTTACTACTCCTCACCACTTGTGGCGCAATACCACACTCGCCTTGAAGGCTAGATTCTCATCATCAATACACAGTAACCGAGAGTGTGAAACGCACCTCGGCTAATGTGCCGCAATACAAAAATGATAAGCGATTGGTTAAAGTAGACTAAAATAGCCAAAAAAGTAACATAACGCTACATCTCAGATTTGCGACCGTTGTTGGAGGGGGAAGCTAAAAGGGAGCGGAGGGACAAAGAGACTCACAACACACACGCCATTGAGGTCGACTCTTCGCCATGTCAACTAGTGTATCCAACCAAACGTGTTCATTGTACTTCGGTCCTAAGCTCGGTAGCCGGGAAACACCAACCGATGCCAACTTCGAAGTGAGGGACTTCAGTCTTCTTGATCAAGTCATCACTTGGCCACTCCTACTCTTCTTCTACCCACACCCCAGGCGCGCAAACAACGCACGATGCGGAAGTCGGTGTGCTGGCATGCGCAACACGTGGCTCAGCCATCGGAGCCTGGTGCGTGATATAACGGTGCTGAGCGGTTCACTCGCTCTTCCTGCACCAAATACACGACGCCGAGTACGCTCATCGGTCACGCGGTGTTCCCACCAGACATGAGCTAAGCTGTGAAGGCGGCGATGATCTAACGTGACTAGCTTCTTTATGTCTGTCAACTTGATGGGCCTAGTTTCGCAACCGAACAGGAGGGTTGAACGGACGGCTGCATTGTAAATTTTGCCCTTCATGGCGAGAATACTGTCATGCCGTTGCCACAAGTGGCGGAGCTAGGCAAAAGCTAAGTGGAAAGAAGATTTACAACTATATGCAAGAACAGAAATGATTGCACGACTGGGCCATGTCTGATACGGTCTCTAACCATTGGTGTGGATCTTGCCGAGGCCTCCATGCACAAAGACGGCACCCACCAACCTGACCAAATCTCTCAGGCAATTTCTCGCATAATGTACCTGATTAAAATTCAGCAAGCACTCGAATGAGGAACCAGAAGGCTTCTTGCCAAAGACGAACTGGTGGACCTCAGCATTACTCACCCGGTGTTTCCACCAGACGTGAGCAGTAATCCGCAAACATCGAGGGTCAAACACGATCAAGCGCTTAATGCCTTCGCCGCGAGTTGGCCAGGTTTCTGATCCATACCGTAAGGTTGCCCTTACCGCGGCGTTATACACCTTAACTCTCACTAACAGGCTGATATCCCGCCGTCTCCATAGATGGTTGAGTCGCTGGAAAGCCACACGTGCCTTGCTGATAATCGAAGTAATTTCCTCAGTGATGTGACCACTCGTAGTGACAGCAATCAAGGTAAGTGAATCGATCCACCACTTCCGGTTGCTGTTCGGTGATAGTGAGTCGGTCCAGTCCTGCAGTTGTGCTTTGTGTTTTGAAGGTGCAACTTACATACGCAAGCGTGCCGCATCAGCTTATCCAGTATGTTTGCATAGTCATTGCGTCATACCCAGGAGGAGCTATGTCGTCCGCATACTTCAGGTTTGTCAGTCGGTCACCTAGTGGAACTTCCACTCAGGTAGAGTCTGAAAGAACTGGCTCATTCATGATCGTTTCGTTCACAAAGTTGAAGAGGAAAGAAGATATAAGACAACCCTGGCGAGCCCCACTTGTGCGGAAGTCAGGAGACCGTTTTCCTTGTACCCTTACACAGCGTCGGGAGTCACGGTAGAGAGACTGCATAGTGGGTTGGAGTTTAGCTGGCATGCTCTTCATGAATAGGCAATGCCACGAGCTGGCGCGATCAAAAGAATCGAAGGCGCTTTCAAGTTATGAAAACCGCCATAGTCACTCGTCTGTATCTGTCTCTGCTTCAACACTTGGTGACGAGTAAATCTGGTCGATACAACCACGACCAGGGCGGAAGCCGGTAGCCCGAGTTTCAGTAATTCGGTTACCACGGGGACTAGTAAATCGTCGGAGAGTGACGCTCTTGCAGGCGATGAAAACAAAGCTAACGCCTTGATGGTTTTCACACAATGTATGCTGACGCTGCTTGATAATGACATTTGACGGTCGCCAGTCTGTAGACACCTCTTCAGTGTTCCAAATCTTGTTAAACAAGGAAGCA